AAGGTTCTTCTATGGCATCGTGAAGCACCTTTATTTTTAAGAGTGTAGTGCAATTTTTGTGTTTTGCAACCCACTATTTGTGACCTACAAAATATCACGTGTCCAAGCATTTGCAAACAATAACGACTGGATGCCACATCAGCAGAAGCAGATGAAATGCCGCCAGGTTTGCAAACACATCTAATGAAAAGTGGAATGAAGGTCACATGACTCACAATAACACAGACAGTATTGTTCGATTCAAAAACTTTGAAAGACTTGCAATTATGCATGTAAACACATCTTATGCGAGACATTACTGGGTCGGTCATCATCAGTGTGTACTTTGGTACCTCACCAACAAGGCAGATGTTATCGTTGGCGTTCTGCAATAACATTTATTTTATCTAATTGTTTACTGTGTTGAGTTGTGGTGAGCGCAGCTTTTCTCAATCAGGGAAACACCCATCTCAAGCAGTGGCAGTCTGATCTTTGTTCCCTGCACCTTTATGTCTGTAATTCAATTATCCTGAGCATTTCATCCAGTCAGTGATCTCTGATTACCCACGCATGTTTTTCACATTGTCATTAATGTGTTTGACATTCGAGCTAAACTGCGGCTCGGTTTCAAAACCAAGTGAGCTGCTTCACCGTCTACATGGGCACTGGAAATAGTGCGTGATTTTGATCATCTAATAAGCATAAAAAATACACAGCACACAAAAATAGTGAGCAAAATACAACATTTCTAATCATGTTGCAACTATGATGTATTTTAAAATGCTGCCTTATGTTTTGCAACAGAGCCTGTGTTACAAATTCAGTGTTTGATGCAACAAATGCAGAACTGATGTTTGTTTGTTTGGTTTTTAATGCCATGCCAACTTCTTTGGCTATTTTCATGGCAAAAACTATACTTGACAAAATAAATAAATAAAAATGCATTGCATCCAAACTGATAATGCACATGTGCATAGATTATTTCAATATATTATTTATATACTTTTAATTTGTACTTTTATATTTTCTTATTTTTATTTTATTTTATATAAAGCTTTAGTAATTTTGTTGTTTATTTAGTTTTTTTTTAAAAATATGTCTATATAGTTTTTATTAATTACATTTATTTTGTATTATTTTTAATACATTATTATTTTTAATACACACATATCTTTATACAACTAGCTGAAATAAAACAAGTTTTAGTTTTTTATATTATATGATACTTCAGTTAACAAAATAAAATAAGTATTTTATATTTTATTTCAAGTAGCAAAAATGTTTTTTTTTTAGTTTTAGTTAACTAACACTAAAATGACGCAACTCTAAAAGCACCTTTTTTTCATCCTGATGTTGTATTAAAGCTAGTAGACTAGCTGTTTGCACCTCCAAGTGTCAAAATCATAGTCAATACTAGCGAAAAAGTGAGTGTCAATGCTGCGCTGTGAGAGAAAATAGATCAATGAAGCTCCTAAAGCAGGAGCACTGGGCTTATGGCCAATTATGACAAAATTACTTAAATATAACGACACTCACATATCTAAATGCAGGAGCAAGAGATCGGACTTCACTACGGAACGACGAGATCACAGTCACAGCTGAAGAACACCGGATACTCGCCGTACTTCACGAGCCGAGGCTTCACAGCATCTGCTTGCTGTCCTGCAAACATTAATGCACATTGCAATTGACAAATATGGTGTCTATTTGGACAGTTTAAGCATTTAATAGTTTCCTAGCATATTCTGAAGGCTTAAACTGTTTGCAATGGTTCAAATGTTTGTAACTATGATCTACAGGGAAACTTTGATTGGCATCATAGAACAAAACAGAAGTTTTATTTGTTAGAATGAAATGCAGTGTTCAGAAAACGCGTAAGAACAAACTGGCTGATGGGAAGAAAACCATGCCATTTCTGAGTCGGCATTATGAAAACGCTCTCAACAGAAGGTTAAAAGTGAACACGCTTTATATGCCCGTCCAAGTCCTGAATATTCAACTTAATACCCATTCAAAGATAGCATGCTGTGTCCTGCCTTTCAGGATTTGAGTGTTGAATTTAAGGGTTTGGCCCTTCGCGTATTATATGACAGATTTCTTTAGGAAATCATAATGACAACCAGTGCTTTTACCTTCACAATACACTAAATGAACAGTCTTGTAGACACCTTTGAATACACAAGACAAGAGGAAAAAAAATGGGGAAATTATTTTACATTTTCCACAAAGTTCAAACCCATTTGAGTTATTTTTGCATATCTATATAAAATTAGACTACATTGAATATTTGTATGTTTAATAAAAACAAATATGTAATCATGCTGCAGGACTTCTATAATTACATATATATATATATATATAATATTGTAAAAACAGAACACACACAAACATATATACAGGTATATATATATATATATATACTGTATATGTACACACACACAATTATAAAAGAGAAAAATTGTTTACAATTATTTTATCAGTTTTCCAACAAGTTTTATCCTCTTTTAGTTCTTTTTGCAGATTAAATTCCTGCAGTATGACTAAATATTTTTCTTTTTTAAAAGTACAAATATTCAATATAGTCTTACTGAATACGAGGGCAAAGGAACTGCATGCATAAATTGTATATATTTATACATATATACATACCTATATATACTGTATATATACAGTATATTGTAAAAACAGAACACATACACACAATTATCGTCAGTTTTTCATCCGAGTCTTCATGATTTACATGTTTTTTTCTCATTCAGATGACTTTTAAATCCCCGTGCTGTGCATGTATGTGCTTTCAGACTCATGGCAGGATGTTTAGAGAGCTTCGCTTTGTAATGCCACACAGCTTTAATTCAATTCACTTTTTCCAATTCAATTTGTTTGTATAGAGCTCTTCACAATGCAAATTGTTCCAACCAGATTTACAATGAATAGAGGCTTACAAAGTCCCTCAGGGAAGCCAAAGATGACAGTAGCAAGAAAAACTCCCTAAGATGAGACGATGAGTAGATGAGAAGGAATCTTTGGAGGGACCTAGGCTCAGCTGGGTAAACCCTCCTCCTCCTCCTCAACTATTTTATACAAAGCATACATACAAACACACACACACACACATCTGCTGTCAGTGATTCATTTATTTACATTGCTTTTTTTTTGGCAATTATTCAGTATCTTGTTGGAAAGCATGAGCGATGAATCTCTGCATCAATCCATTAAAGGAATAGTTTGCCTAAAAATTACAATTTGCTAATTACGTCCTCAACCCTCAGGCCATACAAGATGTAGATGAGTTCGTCAGGTTTGTAGAAATGTAGCATTGCATCAGTGTCTCAGCAATGGATGCTCTGCAGTGAATGGGTGCCGTCAGAATGAGAGCTGATAAAAACATCACAATAATCCACAAGTAATCCACACCACTCCAGTCCATCAGTGAACATCTGGAGAAGACAAAAGCTGACACAAATCCATCATCAAGACGTTTTTAACTCAAATACATTGAGTCTATAATCCATAATAACTCTTCCTCCAGTGAGTCAGTGTTCTGGTGTGAATCAGGAGAGAAATCTGCACAGATCAAGCAGCGTTTAAACGGCTCTAAACACATATGTGACTGGAGTTTGAGGTGAGAGACAACAGGAGATGCACCTTTTCACTGGAGGAAGCATTATTATGGATTATGGACAACAGTTTGAAGCTAAAAAAAAGTTTTCATTATGGATTAGTTTTTATGGATTTTAAAATGAATGATGGATTTTATGCACTCTTATTCTGACGGCACCCATTCACTGCAGAGCATCCATTGCTGAGACAGCGATGCAATGCTACATTTCTCCAAATCTGATGAAGACACAAACTCATCTACATCTTGGATGGCCAGCAAATGTTCATTCTTGGGTGAACTATGTTAAGATCACGTTCAGAGGATGAATGGCTTCATTGCATACCTCATAAAGTCGGTTCTGCATCTGCATGCAGAAAACATGAATAAATGTAAATGAATGAGTTCGAATGGTCATGTATGTTTACACATGAACTGCCGTGTCACATCAGAAATATTTAGGATAACGTTAGGGGTTAGATGATGTTCTCATGTTATTCAGAACGAATTCAGAGCTCCATTTATAATGACAGATGGGTTTTAAAGTCTAAACAAACTGCTGTCACTGATCCTTTGATTTAGTAAAGATGGTTTTAATAAAGACTGTATGACGCAGCTTAATCCTGTGGAATGACACACAAACACAACACTAAACTCCCTTACAAAACACTGTGGCTGTACCAGATTAATACCATGGTATTTATTACAGACCTTGCAAGGTACTTCAAGAGAATACCATGGTATTACTATGAAACACTGAAAACTCCAAAAGATGTTTACAATGGCTTTAATGAGGCTTTACACTAAATAGTTTACATTTTTTGATAGTTCTATTAGTATATTTTTTAATTTTGGGATATTTTATAAGCCATGTACCATTAAGATCAGATGGTTTAGATATTTAGAGCATCATTTTGCGTAATGGTAACCGCATAAATCCAGATTTTAGAGTAATAAAGATTTTGCGTAATGCATTTATCTTATTTCAAAAGTTGCTCGCAAACTCTTTGATTTGATTTTTATTGGTGCTGACAGACAGCTTTATTTGTGCGGTTGGAAACAGTGATGGATGGATAGATCTGAGTTGTGCGCGCATGAGAAAAATGAGGGCGGAGCCCGAGCGTCACGTCAGCGCGCTCGAACCAGTGAGCGTATTTAAACGCGCTCCGAGCTGAGTGTGCGCGTCAAACGCGTTACAGAGACGCGCGTGTGGAGCGTGAGCGCAATGTGCTGCTGACAGATATCAGACACACACCATCTGCTGTACACTTTCACCTGATCCGTGCGATATTAACAGACATTCACCTGGATTTCATCACCTGTGCGTCGCGTCTCGGAGGCAGAATGCAGCGCGCTTTAATAGACACGGGAAACTATTACAGTTAGATCTGCGTCTTCGGGATCCCGATGTCTCCATCTGAGCCGCTGCTGCTGGTTTTCTCTCTCGTTACAGAGGCGGCGCGCGGCAGCATCAGAGTATCGCGCGTCGCGTTGCGCACAGCGAGCTGAGCGGCGCGGCGCGTCAGTTGGACACTCCGGACACTTCTGCGCGCGCTTCATTGGGATCTAGCGGATAATATGTTGGGAATGGACCTGGAATCGTGATATTTTGAGGACAACGCACGGATTTTATCCTTTGGATGCTTCTTGATTTGTTGAGAATTTGGCTTTTCTGAAGCTCTGGTCTTTATGGACCCCATTTAAGGTGAGTTTCTTTCTGTATACGGACGCAAAATAGTTTTTCTTGATCTATTTTTACTGTAAATTTTCCATACACTCTTGAACATAAAGGTTCTTAACGGGCTTCTTGTTAATAATCATTCTGTCGGTATATATTCTTTGGAAATTAGTTAGACGTTTTATTGTAGGCTCCTCAGATTCTGGGTTTTATGATGCTTTTCAAGAGTGTATTGTGCTTTTATATATTAAACATACATATTGTGACTCCCGATGAAAATATAGTAAGTTACTGTATGCTTTTCAAAACATAACTTTGTAACTTCTACAAAACACTTCAAGTGCACAGAAAATAATATGGAGAAACCTTTAAGAGTTTGTGTTTACTTCACATCACTACGAGCAACTTTTGAGTTTAGTTTGACTAATTTTAATAGGTCAGTTTTTAATAATCTTAAAAAATTCATGGATTTATGCAGCTCTGATTGTGTATATATAAAGCAGAATGATGCAGTAAATATGTAAACCAAAGGATCTTATGACTATATGACTTTTCAAATATCAAAAAGCTATTAATTATGTGGAGAAACAGCAGGTTCTAATGATCAACAATTGGAGCTGTTCAGAGTAAAGTGTCATTTACTGCAATAAAGGGCTGTAAAAGTCATTGTAAACATCATTGCATTCATGAAACTGGTAGATTTTATTTGCCTTTTTTGACTCAACAGGAGTTTTGTGATCCGGAATGGGGAAAAACTCTGGCAGAAAACATGCATTTTTCTGCTCTGTAATACTGAGAGAAATCTGTTCAGCATTAACTGCCCTACAGAACACATTTAACGCAGGGCCCTCATCAGAACATTTAACTCTGCACTTTTCCGCAAGTTACAACACTTCGTTCTGAACCGTTTCCCTCTGGGAAGACTTTCAGTAGCACAGAGTACAAAACAAACAGAGTGTTCATCAAATTAACACATGGATAGTCTCTCAAAGCGTCCTTTTTTTCCATTCAAAGCCACGTTTTGTCACTCATGCATGCTGTTGTGCAGACACTCATGCTTTTACCTTTGCACCGTTGCAGCTTCCCTCAAAGGAACTGAGTCTAAAATGAAGTTATGGGACATTCTAGCCACGTGTTTGTTGCTCCTGAGCTCCGTTTCCGCACGTCCCGTCTTCCACAAGCTACAGCCATCCAAAAGAGCCGTCGTCCACAGTGAGGTACCCGCTCTGGACCCCATCATCGTCTCCCAACCTGAAACCACTAACCAAAAACAAGCCTCCATGGAGGAACAATGTAAGTCAATGAGCATGAAAATCTCAGTTACTTCAATGCACATCACAAATGAGACGTCTATGTAGTGTTAATTTGTTTTAGTTCAACTGCAATGGAAAACTGCTTTCAATTACTTGATAGATGCATGTTGAGCAATCCAGATACAGATGCACAACTGTGACAATATACTGGTCAAGAGTACAGTACGTTAAGACTGCATGACCACATGTTTTACATAACAAACCCCCATCTGTTCAACAGCATGAAAAATCTGAAACCGAAAGCGGCGTTTGGCCTTATAACACAGAGGTTGGGCTTTTAAAGTCACGTTGTTTTATAATAAACTTACTTGAGATGAACATGACATTCCTCCGCACGGCTTGTTTACATTTAACGGCAAGTTTTCCAGACAAGCTGAAGTTTTTATCTCACACGTTTTCCCGAGGAAGGTGCTGTTGTGAACACCGACAGATACTGACGTGACTGGAAAGGCATGAACTATACATTCACTGTGCATTTCAGCAGCTGTTCCAGATGTTTAATAGCGGCCTCATCTTTTACACGGTAGCCTTCTTGCATCTTGCATCGTGGGAACTTTCTAAATTAGAGTATTAACGAGTCAAACTTGGCATGTGGAACAGTTTGCACTCGACTGACCGAAAATATGCATGAATTTATTTTGAAGTTGGACCCTTCGCCAGACCCTTGCATAATGTAAGGCGTGTTGAAACTATAGTGAACAACAGACAAACACATGTTGAATTACTCAGTGACTTGTGTCTTGGGGATTCGATCCCTGCATGCATCAGTGTCTCTAGTACTCAGAATTACACCAGAATGTGTTCTTGTAATGGCAGATTGGCTGTGCAGAGAGCAGCCACTAAAAGCAGTGAACAGCATGCAGTGCACTGCAGACGTTCAGGCAAATGTTTAATCTGAAGCAAATGAAAATTAGGTTTTGAGTGCATGATTGAGATGCATCTTTCTAAATGTTTCTCTAAAAGAACACATGAGGGAAAACTATGGTTTGACATATTGAACAGACTGTACATTTAACACAACACTGATTTGCATAAAATATAAAAAAATTGATCTTCAGATCTATCTCTGAACTATATGGAAGCTTATTTCTACCACGGGATAAAGATATAAAAAAGGTAACTGAGTTTTTCTTTCACAGTTCAGATCTTTTTTTCTCCGAATTTCGAGATCTAAGCTTGCAATTCTGTTTTTCCCCCCGTTTTTTTTCTGCCGTGGTAATTGCGACTTTTTATCTCATAATTCTTACTTTTTCTCGCAAATCCAACTTTTCTTATAAGAATTGTGAGTTTATATCAACTGCAAGGTACCATCTCACAATTCTGAGTTTATATCTTGCAATTCTGAGATATAAAGTCAGAATTATGAGGTATAAAGTCAGAATTGTGAGATATAAAGTCATAATTATGAGATATAAAGTCAGAATTGAGATATAAAGTCAGAATTGTGAGTTATAAAGTCAGAATTGTGAGATATAAAGTCAGAATTGTGAGATATAAAGTCAGAATTGAGATATAAAGTCAGAATGATGAGATAAAGTCAGACTTGTGAGATATAAAGTCAGAATTGAGATATAAAGTCAGAATTGTGAGATAAAGTCAGAATTGTGAGGTATAAAGTCAGAATTGTGAGATATAAAGTCAGAATTGAGATATAAAGTCAGAATTATGAGATAAAGTCAGACTTGTGAGATATAAAGTCAGAATTGAGATATAAAGTCAGAATTGTGAGTTATAAAGTCAGAATTATGAGATAAAGTCAGAATTGTGTTATAAAGTCATAATTATGAGATATAAAGTCATAATTATGATAAAGTCAGAATTGAGAGATATTAAGTCATAATTATGAGATATAAAGTCATAATTATGAGATATAAAGTCAGAATAGTGAGATATAAAGTCAAAATTGAGATAAAAAGTCAGAATTGTGAGGTATAAAGTCAGAATTGTGAGATATAATGTCAGAATTGTGAGTTATAAAGTCAGAATTATGAGATAAAGTCAGAATTGTGAGTTATAAACTCAGAATTGAGATATAAAGTCATAATTGTGAGGTATAAAGTCAGAATTGTGAGCTATAAAGTCATAATTATGAGATATAAAGTCAGAATTGAGATATAAAGTCAGAATTATGAGATAAAGTCAGAATTGTGAGTTATAAACTCAGAATTGAGATATAAAGTCATAATTGTGAGGTATAAAGTCAGAATTGTGAGCTATAAAGTCATAATTATGAGATATAAAGTCAGAATAGTGAGATATAAAGTCAAAATTGAGATAAAAAGTCAGAATTGTGAGGTATAAAGTCAGAATTATGAGATATAAAGTCAGAATTGAGATATAAAGTCAGAATTATGAGATAAAGTCAGAATTGTGAGTTATAAACTCAGAATTGAGATATAAAGTCATAATTGTGAGGTATAAAGTCAGAATTGTGAG